TTCTTCCTTTTTTTCTCTTTTTTCTTGTTCATCTTCGTTCTTTCTTCTCTACTTTCTTTTTGTGAATGTTTCTGCTCCTGCTCCTGACCAGTTCTAGATTTTTTTTTCTTTCATGCCAAGGAATTTTCCACCTCATGCTTTCTGAAACATGAGTCACCTCACCTTTTACAATATCATGTCACCTCCACCTTTTTATTCTACATTGGACACATGACCAACAATATTTACACCAAACTCCTCCTAACTAATGTATTTGCATTTCAATGTCAATTTTTATTTGCAAGCATTAATTACAAAGAAACATATATCATTTATCTTATTTCATAATAAACTAATTAAAATCAAGAAAAGGAAAGATAGGAATTAGATATTTCAATGTATCATCTTTTACAATATCGTGCCACCTCCACCTTTTTATTGCACATTGGACACGTGACTGACGATATTTACACCAAACCCCTCCTAGCTAATGTATTTGCATTTTAATGTCAAATTTTTATTTGCAAGCATTAACTACTAAAAACATATATCATATATCTTATTTCATAATAAACTAATTAATATAAAGAAAAGGAAAGATAAGAATTACATATTTCAATGTCTCTTCTGTCTTTCTGCTGAATTCTCCAGTGTTTTTGTTTGTGAAGTTAATTATCATATTCAATCATCTAAAGCATCGTGTTGAGAAATTTTTTTTAACCTGCAAATTTGTAAATGTACAGGGGAAAGTTTTTGTATACTATATAAATTTTTTATGGGATGATCAATGTCTGAGCTTAGAACTTCCTGCTTAACATTGTATATATAAACGCAGGTTGCATTATTGTTATTTCTTATCACATTCTGATTTTATTAGCTATATGTAATAAATTTTTTTATTTGTATTCAATCATGGTTTGAGATTTCATGAATGGCAAACTATGATGCAGGACGCGTAACACTTCTTGCTGAAGGATGTAGAGGTTCAATATCAGAGGTCTGTTTATAAATTGTGGATAATCAGTGGTTCCCTTGCATATTCTGCTGAACTTTTATTTAGATTTTGTGGTGGATTTTCTTTACCTTGTATTTTTTATCTTTGTTATTTATAGAAACTGATAAGGGATCAGAAGCTTCGAGAAAAAGGACAAGGACAGCATCAAACATATGCTTTAGGCATTAAAGAGGTATATTTACGTTCAATTTACTGAATTAGTGTTAGGTGGTACACTCATGAAGCCTTCCAAATTTCAAAATTGTATAGAGTAGCTACATGCAAGAGGCAAGGTATTTTAGTCGACGGTAGTGCATATTTTTAAAATACAGTTAAGTCACGGAAGAAGAGACAAGAGGCTACTTGAGGGAGATAAATGCGAACCACATTGTATGGAGTATTTACATGTAGTTAATGTAAACTAGTTGTGGATGGTGCAGACTTGTACAAAAAATTTAGTCATTGAAGAAGAGATAAAGGGGGTATGGGTGGGAATTAAATGTGAAAGTTCAACAACTATACCTACCAGTATTAGACTATATGAACCAAAGAAGAGTCCAGCATTCTGTAGTTCAGAAGCTGAATGGCAGCATTATCTAGATTGTGTGTCATTTCGTAATAATCAGTTCTGTATAACGGTTTCCTGCATTTTTTCCCCTTGTATTTTCATCAAGTGGTAAATTATGTGTAGTCATTTAAATCTGTGGAGATGTTCTCGTGAGCCTCCAGACAGCAAGGTTGGGTTTAGCTGCAATAATTGATTGCATAGCTGCTGGAATGTAAGAGGGCAAAATTGCATATATAGCTTCTCTAACCATAAAAGATGAGTAAATAACTTTGGATGTTTATTAGTTATATCTCACATGCCTTGTAAATTGGAGGGCCTATCATAGTACATTGTGCTTAAGATTTTACGAATATCAATTGCATGCTTGTTGGCTTCTATATTAAAATCCAACACTGCACAATAAGATGTGGATGCAATGAGCCTATTTAGTTCATTAAGTAGTTTCATACTTTCAAGATCTATATTGATCAAAATGCTGAAGAATAGCAAAGTTCTATGTCAAAGAAATGTTTGTGGGAGTAAATTTAATTGTATGTTCCTTTCTTTTACCTGAAACATCATCTTTAAAGCTTATAACTTCTAGATGGTTATTGTAGAAAGAGATAATTGAGAGAGCAAAAACCCTAATTTTTTAATTGATTTATTCAGATACTAGAGAGAGATGTATATATAGTCATACAAATAGGGGTATGGTTAACGGGTCACAACCTATTAACCCAATACCCAATATACTTAATTTAACACTCCCCCTCAAGCTGGAGCATAAATATCCACCATGCCCAGCTTGTCACGTATAGTAGAAAACACCTTTGAAGAAGTAGTCTTGGTAAGAATATCAGCTAGTTGCTGTGAGGACGGAGTGAATATGATAGATACTATCTTCTTCTCCCAAGCATCTCTGACAAAATTACAGTCAACTTCAATATGTTTTGTCCTCTCATGAAACACAGGATTCTGTGCAATATAAATGACAGATTGGTTGTCACAATGCATTGGCATGGGTCCAGGCTGAACAAAATCAAGCTCTGTCATAAACTTTCTTAGCCACACCATCTCACAAGTAGTGTGAGCCATTGCTCTATATTCGGCCTCTGCACTAGATCGTGATACTACATCTTGTTTCTTGCTTCTCCAAGTCACAAGATTACCTCCAACAAAAGTATAAAATCCTGAGGTTGATTTTCGGTCTCCCATGTCTCCTACGTAGCCAGCATCAGAGAAAGCCGAAATGTGAGTATGCCCATGCTTCTTATATAACAATCCCTTGCCAGGATAACTCTTAACATATGCCAAAATCTTCAGAGCTGCAGTCCAATGAACCTCTCTAGGTTTGTGCATAAATCTGCTCAGTACACCTGCAAAAGTAATATCAGGTCTGGTAACTGTCAAATATATTAGCTTCCCGATTAGTCTCCTATATCGTTCAGTATCATCTAATAGAAAGGTATCATCACGCCACAAATCAATATTTGCCTTCATTGGAGTGTTTGCAGGTTTGCATTACAAGAGACCTGCTTCTTCTAGTAAATTTAGCACATACTTTCTTTGGGACAACAACAGGTTATGTTTTTGATATGCAACTTCAATCCTAAGAAAATACTTTGGCTTTCCCATGTCCTTAGTGATAAAATGGCAACTTCAATCCTAAGAAAATACTTTGGCTTTCCCATGTCCTTAGTGATAAAATGACGGTTTAGATACTTCTTAGTCTCAGCTAAGGCAATACTTTGGCTTTCCCATGTCCTTAGTGATAAAATGACGGTTTAGATACTTCTTAGTCTCAGCTAAGGCAACAGAGTCACTCCCAGTCAGTAAAATATCATCAACATATACGGCTAAAATAACCAAACCAGTTGTGCGTCGAAGAAAGACAGTGATCAGACCGACATGTTAAAACCAACATTAGAAATAACCTTGCTGAACTTATCAAACCAAGCTCGAGGACTCTGCTTTAACCCGTAGATGACATTTCTCAGCCTGCAGATAAGATTCTCCCTCTGAGTTAACATACCCAGGAGGTTGCTCCATATAAACCTCCTCGTCCAAATCACCATAAAAGAAAGCATTCTTCACATCTAGTTGGTGCATCGTCCAATCCATATTAACAGTCAGAGAAGAATTCTGATAGAGTTGAGACGAGCAACAGGAGAAAATGTTTCAAAATAGTCAATATCATATGTCTGGATATATCTTTTAGCAACCAGGCGAGCTTTATATCTATCAACAGACCCATCAGGGTGATATTTCAAGATATACACCCATCTGCAGCCAACCATAGTCGCTCCAGTAGGTAGAGAGACCAAATCCCAAGTCCCTCTAGAAAGCAGTGTGTTCATCTTCTCATCCATAGTCTGTTTCCAAGCGGATACTAACAAAGCTCCCTCATTTGACCTGAGTAAAGATATAGTGGACAAGGACAAAGCAAACTGACGAAAGGATGGGGTGAGACGGTCATAAGAGATAAAAAGAGAGATGATATTTTGGGCAAGACAGTTTACCTTTGCGAAGAGCAATAGGAACATCTAAGTCAAAAGAGATATGAGGCTTGATATGAGATGGACCTGCAGCTGGAGAAGAAGAGTCAGCAGGAGCAGAAACAAGTGTATGTACTTTAGGACGACGAGAGTATGTCAGTAGAGGTTTTGGTGCAGTAGCCACAGGAGCAGATACCGAAATAGTAGTGAGAGCCGTAGAAGGTGGTGATACCTGTGGACTGACAGAGGTAGTGGAACCAGAGAAAAAAATATGGGATAGACTCAAAGAAAGTAACATCAGCAGAAACAAAATATCTCCTGGTGGTCGGATGATAGCACCTATACCCTTTTTGAGTACGTGAGTATCCAACAAACACACTTAATAGACCTAGGAGATAATTTATCCAAACCAGCAGTCAAATCCTGAACAAAACACGTACAACCAAAAACTCGAGGAATCACAGAAAAACGTTTTTTAGCAGGATAAAGACAGTGGAATGGTATCAAACCATCTAGCAGGATAAAGACAGTGGAATGGTATCAAACCATCAAGAACAGAGGAAGGCATGCGATTAATCAAATATCAAGCAGTGAGGACATCATCAGACCACAAGTACTTTGGAATATTCATATGTATCATTAGTGTTCTAGCAACATTGAGAATATGTCTATGCTTCCTCTCAGCAACTCCATTTTATTGTGAAGTCTGAAAGCATAAAGTTTGATGAATAATACCATTAAGAGCACAAAATTTTGAAACGTCATTTTTCATATATTCCAAAGCATTATCAGTACGAAGAATATGAATAGAAGTAGAGAACTAGGTTTTTATTTCATTATAAAAAAGTTCAATAACATGCGAGACTTCACACCTCTCTTTCAACAAATATAGCCAAATCATGCGAGAGAAATCATCAACAAAAACAATGAAATATCAAAAATCCTTCACAGAGGGAACACGCCAAGGACCCCAGACATCAGAATGAACTAACTCAAACGCAAAACTGCTACGTTTATCGACACGACTCTGAAAAGAAGCACGATGGTGCTTACCCAGTTCACATGACTCACAACCTAAAGAAGAAAGAGAAGACTGAACAGTAACTACCGATCTAAGTTTCTATAGTGAAGGATGACCCAGACGCCAGTGCCACAGTAAGGTAGAATCAGGCTGTGCTGCAACAAGACCAGCATCCGACACACTATCGTTCAAATAGTACATACCTCCTTTCTCATGCCCCGAACCAATGTCATTCCAGTTGCTAGGTCCTGAAAAACACAATAAGAAGGAAAAAAGGTGACTTTACAGTTATTGTGCTTTGTAAACTTGCTAATGGATAATAAGCTAACATGGAATTTAGGAGCATATAACATATCAGTGAGTTTCAAAGGGGAAGTAGCATGAACTACTTCAGCACCAAGAACTGGAGAAATTGTACCATCAACGATGCGAATAGAGAGAAACATATCAGAAAGATGTAAAGAGACAAAACGATCCTTTATACCTGTCATATGGGATGAGGCTCCAGAATCTAGTACACATGGTTCGTGAGAAGCTATGTAAGCATCCATACCTGAAGAGGATGCATGAGTAGCCGAATGACTCTCCTGAGAGAGCTCTAACTGGCGTAACCTATCATAATCTTCCTGAGAGATCTGAACAGTAGGAACAGTAGCAGCTGGATTACTAGAAGTAGTAGTAGAAATAGGTGAGAGAGTCGACTCGGTATCGGCTACTTGGGTCCATTAAGGACAATCAAACTTCTCCCAACACTTCTCAGAAATATGATTGCTCCTCCCACAGTGACCACATGAACCCCTATCAGAATCACCCTTTCTCCCACTAAAAGAGCCACGTCCTCTCACAAAATCACGATCACGATCACGACCACGACTGCGGTCTCTGCCTCTACTAGATAACATGGCAGACTGATCCACTAAAGGTGGAGACGATGCAGAAGTATCAGAAGAAACACCAGTAGAGACCTGCATGACTCTGGAGAAAATAGCAGTCAGTGAGGGAATGGTATCTCTACCCAATATCTGCCCTCTCACCTGGGACTGTAAGGTATGGTGCAATCCAGAAAGAAATTTGGACACTGCTAAGTCACAACGATATCCTAACAGCATCGTCGCATCAGCTACTGCAGGCTGATGCATTTCCAGTTCGTCTATCAGTCCTTTTAACTCACCAAAGAACTCCGGAACTGACCTATCTCCTTGTTTGAGCGCAAACAGTCGCTCACAAATCTCAAATATACGGGAGCATTCTTCTCATTCCCGTACATAATCTTTAGGTTGTCCCACATCTCCTTCACAGTGGTTAAGAACATAACACTGTTACTAATCTGTGATTCCGTACTGTTGAGGAGCCACGTCATAACACAATAATCAGACGAGAGCCAGGAACTATAGTTGGGATCTGTGGTGGGTAGAGGAGAGGCCAGAAGATGTGAAAGTTTGCTCTGAGCGCCAATGAAAATGCGGAAAGCCTGAGCCCAGAACAGATAGTTTGTACCATTCAATTTTATTGTAGTCCCAAGCCTACATTGGGCACAGAAGTCTGACCAGCAGCAGCAGAGGGAGATGTAGAAGAGGAGAGATCTGTTTTCGATATTGTTGCACAATAGTGGTAGGCAGGTAGTAGTCAAATAGCCAGGACCGTAGTAGAAATCTGTTCTTTAAACATAGACTAAGAGCAGATAAAAAAATAAGCAATAGTAGATGACCGGATCGGGTCATATGTAGTCTCAATCACCTATCCATGACCGCTGAAAAAAAGGACAAAACAAAGCGGCAGCAGTACTGTAGCGACGGT